GCACATGTTGGAATGGCCAGGGAGCGTCGCTAAAGAGGAAGCGGGCCAGAAGATGCTTGGGGGAGAGTCCCGGAAAACGAGGCCAGCTTTTCAATGCCCAGCCTTTGCTGGTGGCGGCAAAGATCCTGTCGGACCCCCCTCTTGGGGTGGGGGTAGTTTGGGGTGGGGTGTATCCTTTATCTTCTCCCCCCCCCCGCTGAGCCTGTAATTCTCTACTTCCTTGTTGGCTTTCTACAGTCCCACAAGCAGAACATTAAATTTGCTCAACATTAAATTCCCTTGAGTTCATTGGAGTTTCTCGTAAGAAGGGCCTGCTACCTCTGCAATCTCAGACCGCAATCTGAGGCTCATTTATGGAGGAAGAAGGTGGCCCCAGTGAACTCCGAACAATTTATTTCTAAAGAGCCAAACAGAGGATTCTGAAAGCGGAACTGCCCTGTGTTTTGCAACACAACCAGCCAAGAAGCCGGGTTCACTCATTATTGCTAAGCTATGATGGGTTTGACCATGGCTGGCTGGATTCACACCATGTGCTAAGCCAGACTCAGATAAATCACATCTATGCTACTGTCTTTAAAGTAACTGATGCCTTGGTGTTTTTTAAGCTGCTGTGAATCACAACCAGCTTCATCAGAGCGAGCCGTCGTGCCTAATTAAGGGTGCTCCCTGATTAAAAGCATCTTCAGCAATTAACTTCACAAATTACTGACGAAAAGCAACAAGCAACTTTGAGGAAAAAATAGTTCTAAAGAAAAACACGTACCGTTTAAAGATAGTGCCTGATTTATCACAGCCATAAAAAAAAAAACCTGTTCCAACACAGGAGTAAATGTCTTTTTCACCAGTCTGCATGTTTTGAAATAAGAGCATCCTGATTCTTCTTAAGTCCACGCTGCTGTTCTTAATCACACACTGTAGTAAGCCATGGTTTACTGAATTAACTGTGATACCTGTTTTGCACATCACACTAAGCTACCAGCAAATCAATCAATGCAAACCCAGGTAGGCTTTTAGTCTTCTCTCTTGTAATGTCTCAGCCAGGTAATTCAAAATGATTCTACTCACCAGTTTGACTGATCAAGCCTGGAGCTCAGTGGAACCATTTTGAATTACCTGGGCAAGACATTTCAAGAGAGAAGGCTAAGAGCCTACCTGGGTTTGCAAACAGAGTTTCAACACTCTTGATGCTCTGGAGCAGTGTTTCTCAACCTTGGCAACTTTAAGAGGTGCGGGCTTCAACTTCCAGAATTCCCCAGCTAGCATGGAAGCTGAAGTCCACACCTCTTAAAGCATGCTGGCTGGGGAATTCTGGGAGTTGAAGCCCACACCTCTTAAAGTTGTCAAGGTTGAGAAACACTGTCCTTGGGGAATGGTTCCATGGTGGTCCTGCTCTGCCTACAGAGCTTCATGATGGCCTTATGAAGGATCCCCATCTACATGGGGTTTTCAAGTCCCAGAGATGGGGGGGCTAGAAGCAAAGGGCTGGTGCCCACCACCTCAAATGTGGGGTGAAATGAAGGAGGGGGGAAGAGAGACAAAGGCTAGGCTCGAATTTCTTGATGAAAGATGTTTGCACATTCGAGAGAAGCAGGTCAGGAATCAAGCACCACAAAGCCTATTGGAATTCTACTGTTGTAGGGTACCATAACAGAATCTTGAACGCCTTCCAGGATTTCTTTCCCACCCATTTTATAACAAACAGAATCAAGGCGGGGTTATTCTGAGTCTCTTTCTCACCCTCTCCATCTTTCCAGGGCAGAGATTTCAATGAGGTCTCCTTTATCTGCTAACGGCATTTACGTTCCTTCACGATCTCTGCCTCCCTCTGCAGCAGGCGAGCTTAACCTGCAGCTGCCCCAAGACATAGCTTGCGATTTTCACTTTCCATCCCACTCAGGAGAGACTGTTATCACGCAGGGATCTGGGCACTGGGGAAATTGGAAATGGTGGGAGCTTTGCCATCCCAGCTGGTGACTGAGAGGGGTGAAGTGGCATCAGGACTGGTGGGTCTTGCCCCTGGGCAGCCATGGGTCCTAGGCTTAACAAAGGGCAGAGAAGAGAACCGGGCAATGCCAGGAAATGGCATCATCTCTCAAACCCTGCTGAAAAAGACCTGCCCCATCCATTTGGGCTCAGAGCTCGGTGATCTTTCTCCTCTTCCCCGAAGGAAATGGAAGAGACTTGAAATCTCCCAAGCTCTTCCTCTTGTGCTCACTTGCGTCCTGGAGGCTCCCCAGGTTCGTGATGTGGCGTCTGGGGACCCAGCTGAAGTAGTCTCCCAGTGAGCGCCCACGCAGAGCAGAGCAGCCACTTTGGGAGGGCAGAAAGCAAACCAACCAAAGTCCTGCCTGTTACAAAAGCTGCGGGATGTTTGCACCTCCGTGAGTTTTTGCTTCTCCCTAGAGCCAGGGCTGCAGATTGCTGGTACTCCCTTCCATTCAGGTGTGCGTTTACCTGCAGGACTATTCTACCTTTCATCGGTGCTGGAACAAATGCATAGTACAGCTTTAAGATTTTATACATCCACTCGGGCTGAGTTTGTACAACACCCTAAACTAGCTTACAATGGGGTTGGCTAGGTTGTGGATCAGCACAACGTCTTGGTATATAATGAGCAGCAAGCCACTGTGTTAAGCGTGACATGGTTGATTTGCTTGAGCATAACAAGTTATGGAGCACAGTCATTATGCTTTGTTAACCCGGCTTTAGAAGTTATTGTGTGAAAACAGCCTTGAAGAGGTATTACCTGACGGTCTCTCTGAAGAGCAATATATAAATTCCTACAATTAATACCTATAACATTAGCTGTACACACACTATCCTGTGAATACGCCATTGAATACTGTGGGATTTACTTTGGAGTCAACACATACTATATGGGGGCTGCAGTGTTTGTCCGGAAACATCTCTTCCCAGGTCTTAGCTGCAGTTCTACTGTGGCTATACAGAGCACTCTCCGTGTTCCCACGGACATGTGGTCTTTTTTCCAACTACCACCCAGTCTAAGAAGAAAAGGGAGCAATTCAACTACTCAGACCTGGAATCTTATCCACATTTATTTAAGAATTAATTATTTTGAGCAGCATGACTTACTTCCAAGTAAACATGCATAACAACCATGGCTGCATTTGCATAACATATTAACCTGGTTATCGAATTCACTTGTTTTTTGGTATACAGGGGGTCCCCAGTTTAAGGACAAGTTCTGTTCCCAAGGTCTGTCCTTAAGTCGAATTTGTAGGTAAGCCAGAACAGTATTGTATAACCCTGTATAAGTAGTATTGGGTAATGAACTCTAACCATTGTGTATTTAACTCGAACCATTGTGCATGTAACTCAAATGTTGTTAAAATAGGCTCTGTTCTTAACTATGGGTCATCCTTAAACTGGGTGTTCTTAACCCGGGGACTCCCTGTACATTATTCATGAATAAACTAACCAAATCGGCTGAGTTCACACAACTCAAAAACCCATCAAAAACCCAGCAAACATTAACCCCAGCCTAGCACACTGCAGATGTAGCCCCAAGGTGCTTAGCTGTGTGAATGTGGTCAAGGAGCCAGCTCTTTTTCCGTTTATTTTCCTTAGGGCTGTCAGCTACTAGATTAAGCCCCTGCCTTTTAATGAAATAACTGGCTTGATTTTAATCAGTACCTGCATTTGTAATAAAAAATGTCCATATCTTCAAGATCCTGAGATACAGAAGGAAGTAGTAAGTAACAACAATGTATAACTAGGTTCTGTCCCTAAATGGAAAGCAACTAGCATCACTTTCTCTCATGTGGAGTCTACAAATTCCTGTTATCTCAAGCTCACATGCAATTGGTGAGCACCGATCCATTTTGCTCACCGCATAAGTGCGGTCCACCTCTTGTAACTACTATCATGACTCTTACCTGCGTCAACCCTTGAAGACTGCACAGAAGCAACAAGATTTTTTTTAAAATTTAAGACACTAATTTTCACTGGCTTTTCCTTTATTTTGTTTTAGAGGAGGCTACTAAAAGCCCATTTTGTCCAGGATGACTTTAAACATAAATGCATTTTCCCATTTTTTCCTTTGTTGGTGGGTTTACCTGTTAACCCATAAATTGACCACATGGGCTATGTTCACATAACATGCAAGGCAAAAAATGGTTTGTAGTTTAGCAATGTCAAATACCCAATCATGACATAATTCTAAATCTTAAACACTGCAAGTTAAGTGACTTGTTTAACCCAAAAGGCAGTTCAATAAATACATTTCCAAGCATATACAAATTAATAGATATCCTGGTTATTCCCTCCATGGGTTTAAAGTTCTGTCTTCCAATGTTCATCTTTCAACAACAGTCTTATAAGGTAGGCTGGGCTGAGAGTAAGCAACCTCTAACCTCCAAATGAACTTCTATGGCCATGTGTGAATTTACCACTGGACCTTTCCAGCTGGGCTGGACTACAGCTCCCATACACTTTACCATTGTATCCTTGGCTGGGGTTGATGGGAGTTGAAATCCAAAGCCAGGTACTGAGGAAGGGACCAAGTTGCCTGCCCTGCCCTCCCCATTATATCATCGCGGCTAAGCTGTACAAATTGAATAGAATAAAAGTAAATTATAACTCATTCCATCATCCCCTACAGCCTAACCCAGCTCCTTTGCAGACACCTCCACGCTTTCCGACCCCTCCGCCTCTTGCGCGAGGATCCCTAGAAGGGCCCAGATGGTACCATTCTACTTCTGGTACGGGGGGGGAAGAGCGGAAGGAAAGATCCCCAGCACCACCCTGCCCTCCCGCTGCCCACGCCGACTTCCTCTCCGTCTTACCTTTCCCTCGTCTTTGTGGCTCTATTTTATTTTTCTGAAGAGAAGCGCAGGAACGGGAGGAAACAGGCGCCCGTGGAGACCCCCTCCTCTCCGCCGTGCGGTGGTAGCGGCCTGTGCTGGGAAAGCCTTGCGCCTGCGCAGTCGCGGTCTGCAGAAAGACCGGGAGGACGTTAGCGAGGAGGGAGGCGGAGGAGGCGGGGAGGTGAG